ACACTGGGTCCTTGTGCTGAGGGGAAAGGTGACTGAAGAATCAGCGGCATCACTTTGTTCAATGCACAGATACTATGCCAAGTATTCCCCCCTGGAACTCCAAGCTCCAGGTGACTTGGTTTGTTGTTATCCAGCACGCTGGGCTTTGTGTCCCACTGAATTCCACAAGAAACATCCACAACTGACATTTATGAATTCTCACCCCGGGCTGATTAAGAATGCAAACCTTTGTGATCACTCTGAAAATTCACTTGTACTTGGAGATATTCCAGATGCAGAGCTATGGAAAATACATTCCTTCCTTAACAAATAAATATTGGAAGCTCAGGTGCCCACGTACTGAGTGTGCAAAGGAGAAGGCACAGGCAAAAGCAAGCAGGTTCCAATCATAAGCTTTTCATCCTATTTTTAAGGAATTAGATAGACAAACAATGGTTGCAAAAGCAGCAGACTTCAGTGGAGGAGGACAATTACAACAACACAGTTTCCCTGTGGAATTTCTAACAGAGACATAATGAATTAATACATCCCATTACTTTTCATCTTTCATGTTATAGAGATGAGGAGACAAACACACGATAGCGGTGCAGAATACCCAGCGCTGGAATATCACCCTGATAAATGCAAACTGACACAGAGTTTTAATTTGTTTGTTCTTGATTGGGAATCACAGCGTGCAGAATCCTAATGAGCCGTGGGGTGGTCATCACCAAGCCCAGGCACGTTTATCTTGCATTGTGTTTGCCGCTGGTGTCAGCTCTTTAATTTGGGGATGTCAGTGCCCCACTCTGAGACAGTTTTTTAGTGGCTTCATAAAGGTGTTGTCACTGCCTGATCGTGCTGTTGCTGGACAGCAGACATCGAGGTGAATCTGATCCAGTTTAGTTCATTTCTTCCTCTGCTTTGAGAAGTCAGTAAACAGAATCTCACTCGCCACAGAAGCTTTAAATAAGGATGTCAGGTAAAAAGCCAATTTCCACACGGTCTGGGTACCATTTCCAGCAATGCTTGAGGCTGAGGTGGTGTTTGTGCCTGGATTCTCAGGTCATAACATTTTACAAAGTGATCTTCTCATGGACCTGCCCCATGGTGGAGATGTGACAGGACTGGTTTTCCTGGGACCATCCAGAGCCATTTTGCTTCTAGTGAGAGCTGCCACTGCAGAGTCCCACCAGTTCACCACAGAGCTCAGGGTGGGGGAGGATTTGGTGGGGTGTTATATCCTGGCTCCACCAGGAAACAGCCACTAAAATTAATCTTGAAAGGAGTGGTTTGACTGCTGAACTGAGATTATCTCAGCTGCTCAGGGCTGTACTCCAGCACAGTTGTTCTGAACGTTACTTGTCTCCTTTCCATCCCTCTTGTGACTCCTGTCTTGTACGATATAGAAGGTGCTTGTTCTCACTCCCAGGGATCTCTGTGCCCCCTGGAACTGTACCTGTGATCCCCCTTATTGTCCATATCTACTGCCCATCAGTCAAACATTGCTGACAGGTTTCATTTCCAGGCCTATCTGTGCATCCTCACAAGCCACCCTCACACCCTTGGAGGAACCCACACCCATGACTATGTTTCCTCCACGTCTTTCAGTTCCCTGTTAAATGCTTTTCACTCAGTGTTTCCTTCCAAGTTGCTCTCAGTTGTCTGTCTTTGTGCATCCTGACATAAGATTTTGGGTACAGAAAAAAAAAAGGAATGGAGTCCTTTATTTCCCTATATTTATAAAACTCTAAATATGACAGAAATTTCTAGGCTGTATGCATCATAGGCACAGTAAATGACAGTATAGCACAGCAGGTTAACCTTCCACATCAAATACTCAGTACTAGTAAATGCACACAGCTCCTTCCAGCCAAATCCACTCTGGCCCAGGGTATTCTCCCTCTAAGTTATTATTTTTAATATGGGTCCAAATGACAGCAGTTTAAATAAAGTACTGAACTCATCTACTTTACTCTTAATTTATAGTGGTGCTTAGGGGATGTGCAGATATTTAAAACCGGTAAAATCAATTAACTTGTGATCCAATTATTTGTGTTAACCACTGTGGGGTTTTATTTTAGAGCACTGGTTCAGACTCTCCCAGTCAAGCACCATACTTTGAGAGTGTAAACCTTTCACTGGGAAATATGATGAACCTGGGGTTGGCTTTTCTCTATTTCTGATCTCATTCCTATATTTGTCCTTTTCGTAGTTTTTCAATTCCCTTCTTTACTTTTGTTTTTGGAAGGGACCCAGTAAATGCTAGGAAGTCTATTCTTTATATAAAGGTGGCTGAACAGGCAAAAGGGTTCACCTTCTAGATATATTTTCCTGGGCCACTATTTCACAGTAGATCTGTGTCTTTTGCAATCACAAATCTGTGATTTATTACACTTTTCACATTATAAATTTAGAGCAGACCTATATGACAATTTCTGTGATCTGATCATTCTGCTCTTTCATCCATCTTGAACAGATTTTAGTCTAATGTTCCAGGCAGCTTCAAATACCCTCTCTATTTACCTGGTCACTTCTAAAATGGGAAGGATGCCAGGGGTGAGTTTACCCCTATGCTTGGGATCATTTTTCTTGGCACAGCCTTTGCCTGCAGACATTGGCATTTCCTTCCTTCACCCCCAGCTCTCCTCAACTGAAGCTGCTGAGAGCTCTCCCTAAATAAGGAGAAAATAGGGGTGCAGAAGAAAGCCAACCCCAGCTGAGATATCCTTGAATTAAATAGCCTTAACCTGACATTCAATATTTTTTGAACTAGCTGGCACATCAACCTTTTCCATCACAGTCTGGCACTGGTGGGGTAAAAATAACAAATTTATCCCATGGCTTCATAATTATATAGCTGAATGAAACAGCCAGATCTTTTAATATTTTACCCTAAAAGGTCTTACTGTCCCCAAGGTGAGCCAGGGAGTATTGAACACTTAATTGAATCAGATGAGAGGATTATGGAAAAGATTTTTCAGAAGGATCAATATGAATTAGGAGCAGATGCCCAGTCAAATCTAAGGGTTAGATTCTTTAGTATTAGGCTCCTTGAAGTCTACTCATCTTGTTTTTAGAGGTAATTACAAATTGTTTGATACTGAACACTTGGGGGGAAAAGTTCTGACCTTTATGGTTCTGATGTCTCATATTATACATGCTCAAGTTGAGACAATATGAATTAATACAAAAATATCAATCAGGTTAATTGCTTATTTTCAATTAGTGAAAGAGCTGTCCAAGTCTGCTTTCCAGTCAGAGCATTTGGCTGAGCTGGAAGGAATATAATCTTGGTAATCATTCTTCTGTTATTTCCAAGATTATTAAAAGAGTTTTTCTTTTAATTTGTTTCAAAGCAAGTGAAAATATTGTTATATTATCATTTAGAGTTAATTAAACTGCAAATGAGCTTAATGAACTGTCTGAAACAAAGCTCAATCACAACCTGTTACATATTAACTATCGAAATCAAAAGAATCTTTTAATTTTTTGTTGGATATGCTTTGTCAGATATAACACAGAAGATAGAAATAGCCGATTATTAATGCCATCCTTTTATAAAATCAAGTTTGAGGCTGAAAAGATTGAACTGAATGCATACACTCCAATTATACAGCAAAACTGAAAAAGGGTTTAGAAAGATAAGTCAAATCTATTTGAAAAGAGGAAAACAAAAACAACTGAACACAGGGGAAGACAGAGCTGCCTTTGTGTTTTAGTGTGAGGAAATCCATTTTACCTACTGTGTGTCCAGACTGGGAAATCTCTATATTAATAAAACACCATTTTCTGGATTCAGCATTCTCACAAAAGACTCTGTGGTGTTGTGACTTCACATGTTCTGAGAGACAGAGCAAAAGACACTCACTGTTTTACTCCTTTAGTCTTCGACATTTTAGTCCTCAAGGTCTCGAAGCCTCTTGGGTGACTTTTGCTCTTGAGCCGCGCGTTGCCGCCGACGGCGAAGCTTTTCAGCAGCCCATTTGTGTCATTAAAGATTGCCATTTTAGACTCTTGAAGGCTTAATCCCCAGAAATGCTAAGATTTTTTTTTTTTTTCCTAATGATCTATAATGGCAGTGCTGGTGTTCAGCACTTCTCAGGATTAGGTGCGTTATCGTTCCGCTTCATCCACCCATCGGGCAGGTGTTATTGCTCTTATACCCAGCGCTTTTAGCACGTCAGCCTCAAGTGCTTGAGAGGTGAGGAGTATTATTAAGTCTGACCCTTACAGGCTTTTCCAGTGGTTTGCTTAATGTTTTTCCCTCCATAAATAAGAATGATGTTATACACTGTTTGTCTGGAGAGTAAATTAGAGTTTTCTCGTAGGGCTTGGCTGGTCGAGTCGTACAGCGCTGAAACACATTTCACAAGGTCATCAAAAATTCTCCCAGTTCAAAAAAAGGGAAAGCAGCACTGACTTTTAGTTATGCAGACAAAGTGGTAGCATGAGGTCCAATTATTTCTGAGTATCTCAGAGCAAACCCTCCAAGAAGTGCTCTGGGAGTGCTTTTTGTGAAACGTGTTTTGTGTCTTGATAAAGGTGTAGTGAAAAATTAATACGGGTGGGATAGTTTATGAAAACAGGAGTCCGAAATGCAAAACTGGGTTATTTGTAAATAATCTGAGTGCAAGAGTGGTCTGCTTCAGTCAGCTTCCTCTTCCCTTAGCTAGGAGTATATTTCCCTTATGCACCTGTGCAGCATTGTGAGTATTTTCATGTTTCACTTTCCATTCATATGAGATGAACTGTCTTCTTGTGATCAGAGTCTCCCAAAGCTTGATTCCTATCACATCACTGCTTATCTGCCATCCATTAAGTGGAGAGCAGCTGTAATGTGCTCCCTCATATTTCATGAGTGAGAATGTATTATTTAGAGCCTATAACATTCACTTTCGGTCAAGGATTCCAGCCTTCTCCTGTTGGGGTAAATAATTAATGCTGCCTTGGATATTTCCTGCCTGTGTGTGGGGTCATTAATTGAAAATAATAACAATTTCCGCTGTGTTTTTTTGTAGTTTCAAGCCACAGTGAAGGAGGGAGTCACAGGTGTAATAGTGAACTTGACTGTTGGGGACAGAGATGACCCAGTGACTGGAGCATGGAGAGCTGTCTACACCATCATCAATGGAAATCCAGGACAGAGCTTTGAGATCCACACCAATCCCCAGACTAATGAGGGAATGCTCTCTGTTGTCAAAGTAAGAACAATTTCCTTTTTTTACTGTATTATTGTTGTCTACTGGGTTCACTGCGTAAGAGAAGGCACAGCAGGGATAAGTTATTCAAAGATATATAGTTGGCTACCAGCCCTTGTCCAAATATGTCAGAGTAACCTTCTTTTTTCACTCATAAGGACTGCCTGTTGCTGACTGTATTGTCACTGTGCTTCAGTAACAGCCAGATTTGCAGCAAGCACCACAATTAACAGTGAGATTTTACAACAAGGTTTTGTTTGTAGCTGAAAGGACAATTAGAATCCAAGGCCCCCACTTTGTTCTCAGAGAACAAAGATGGGAATACCAGGGAATTGAGGGATACGGCTTCAGTCTGAACTGGAGAGCTGTCTTTGGCCCCACATTTCTCCGGTCTCATGGAAATATTAATTGCCTGTCTTTCTATGAAGATAATTCTATGTCTCACACTTTTAAAAAAATTGGCCCTGGTTGCTGCCTGAGCCACAATTCTCTATGTTTGACTTCTGAAGACGCATTTTCAGTTCTTAAGACAAATGGAATGCATTTCCATGGCAGTGATTCTGATTTCAAGATAGCAGTTGAGAAAGCAGCTGGTGTTATTGTCATAAGTAGCTACTAAGTATGACTGATTTGCTTGCTAAGTGCACAGTACATCATAAATAACCACCTATATGTGACAATTGAATTATGTGTGAGGTATGGCCAAAAAAACCCAGCATATGCTCTTGGACAGAGGGACATCTCCATCTTTTTTTAAGTCCATTGTGTCCATTCTGTTCAATGCACTTTATAACTGACAGTTGTATCCTCAACTAAGCTAAGTCTAATCCTAAACTCTGGCCAAGTATCAGGTGCAGTGAATGGATAGTTCTATCTCCTTGCCAGTTTGCAATGGGTAAAGTGTTAAGCCCTGCCTTTGCACCTTGCCCTCTGATTTTATGACGTTTTGCAGCCTTTGGACTACGAGATCTCGGCATTTCACACGCTGCTGATCAAGGTGGAGAATGAAGACCCTCTGATTCCAGACATAGCCTATGGCCCCAGTTCCACAGCAACAGTCCAGATCACTGTGGAGGATGTGAATGAAGGGCCAGTTTTCCACCCAAACCCAATGACGGTGACAAAGCAAGAAAACATCCCCATTGGCAGCGTGGTGCTGACTGTGAATGCCACTGACCCCGACACCTTGCAGCACCAGACCATCAGGTGAGTGCAGTGCCCTCCAATCTTCATCCATCACAAAGTCAGGATGTCTTTTGTGCCCAAGAATTTGCCTGCCAGTTCAGAATTACATCCAAGCTGGTTTGGCTCTGCATAGTAAGAAGTTACTTTTTTTTTTTTTTTTTTCCTGCAGGGGAGAGATTCAGTTTGATGAAAACATAGAACTATATTAGAGAGAGAACAATAGTTTTCCAGGTTTTGAGATTCCTGCAGTAGCACAGTCAAGTGCCACAAGCAACAGACACAGCTTTTCATAGAGTTTCAAAATTACTTTTAACCTGTTTGTTTATTCCTGTTCCTTCATGAGAGCCAAAGAAAATGTGTAAAAATCGAAAATGTGTATAGAAATGATTGCTCTGTTTCACATAGGGTTTAAATCAGTTCATGATCATTTATAATGTCCCTCAGTGAAATAAGGACCGTCCATCCACACTCAGGAGGTGAGAAAACACTTCCCAGCGAAAGACTGAAGCTAAAGTAAGCTCAGACTTGGCCTTGTCTACCACTGAAATATCTGAATAGCATATTGTCATTCCCCTTGTTTTCTGAATGTATTTATTTACAGAATTAATTTTTATCCTTAAGTTTAGCTTTTGCTCCAAAGATTCCTTATTTCCTTCACTGTGGTCACACAAGTTTGTGTCTATGGATGGAATTTCTGTTGCTTGACAGATAGAGTAATATGACCCCATTATTCAGTATTATTCAGGACTTGGCTTGTTCAGGGCTTAGGTATTTATTTCCTTTGGGACTTGGACTGAGTGTAAGAAACATAATTATTGAAGTTCTCCATAACTTTATGTACTTTCATAAGAGATAAGAAGAGTCATATTAATTAACGTAACAGTTCATTTTGTGATGCTAAAAGTGAAAAGCTGTGAAAATGTAAGGATTTGGTCATCAAAAAACAATCCAGAAATTATTACCTTGCATTTTCCCCTTATCTACTGATTTTGCTGAATTTCTCCTAACAACATTGACACTGAAATTATGGGGCATACCAGTGAGTCATTTAATCCTCTTGAGTGAGTTTTAAGTATTTTATGTAGCCAGTTAAGTGACACATTTTGCAGTCCACCACATCTCACAGCTGGGAAGGAACTCTCAAATCTTGGCCATAAGTAACTCAGAATTCTCTCAGAAATTTTACTGTATCTGCATAGAGGGATGGTCACATACAGAAACTGTGTAAATGGAAGTGACTGTGTAAGTTAGAAGAGAATGCTGCAAATGTAATGGAAATCTGGGAGATGGTGGAATGCATCAGGAAAGGCTAATCTGACTACCTGTAGGTCCTTTTGACAAAATGACAGGAAAAACATAAACCAGCATTTTTAAAAGCTGCTTTTAGTACTGGCAGGTATTGTTGAGACACCTGGTTACTATCAACTAAAAAAAAAGAAGACTCTAGGCTATAAAAACAACCTCTGCAATTAAGGATAGGGTAAAATTTCATGTATAAAGACCGTAACTATTCCCTGGTTGGATTCTGACTGAAACATTTTCTCCCAAGTTCCTGCAGGCAGGTGTGTGTTTAGAGCTTGGGCCAACGTCCAGGACTTTTGTGCAGCACGCAAACACAAACTGCAGGGTTCTCAGGCTGCACTGCTTTAACTGCACCAGAGTGCTTGCTGGGATTGTGCTGCTAAAAGAAAGGCCAAGCAGGGACAGCACAGATTTTAAATGAGATATTACATTAAATATTAATGACCATGAGCAAGCAGTGTTTTGTCTGCAAAGAAACAATGAATAGCAGATTTGTGTAGTGTGTGCTGTGTGAACAGTGTGCGTCACCCCCAGCAAGGTACAGATCTGTTCAAAATGGGCAGAACAACACAGAATTAGTCATGCTGGCAGGTTTGGGGGGTTTTTTTTATTATTATTATTTTCAACCTTTTACAACTGAGACACGTCTAACTGCAGGGATATTTTTAGTTAATTTTCTATATAAAGCTCACAGAAGGGGCTGGTGATTATTTGTAATCAGGAATTTTAGTTACTCTGCTAGATGTAACATGATAAATGCATTTCGAAACTCATGAAAAGAGTAGAGAAACCTTTTTTTGCCATTGTCTGCAACTAGATTGAATTTATTCTTTGAACAATGCATATCTGAATCAGATTCAAATTACTTATCTCTGAAAAACGAGGCTTACTTTGTAAAATTTCCTAAAGACAGCTGTACTTTTGAAGCAATTTTCCTCCTTATTCTTCAGCTTGAAGTGTTTTTGCCGGCTGAGAAAGAATTTGATTTAAAGGCTCAAACAAGCTGGCAAAAATGTTAAAAAAAAATAAGACTCCAATATTCCCAAGGCTCCAAAGCATGTTCCTGGAGCTCTGGCTGGAATAGCAGGAAACTTGCACAGTGTCAGCTCTTCCCTGATCTCCTCGTGGTGACATTCCAGAGGAACTCAAGGTAGAGGTGAAGGATCATCCTGGAGATGAGGACTGCAGGCTTGTATAGACCAGGTAAACGATGAGTTTAATCTTTCTCTCAATCACTCCTGTTTAAAAGCAGCTTAACAGTGACTGGCACAACCATTCCCAGATCTGAGATTCCCCGTGGAAAGTCTGCAGTGACTAGAGTGAACTTTGGGCTTCTTGGGGATGTTGTAGAAAGGAAGGAGCAGATAGAAACACAGGTTTTTCCACCTTAGTATTCATTCCACTGTGATCACTTCCAGGAAAGGACCTGTTCAAAGTGGATCACATTTCTCAGATTCATTAACCTTTCTTTTTTCTTTTTTTTAAGTATTTAATTCTCTACAGTTTCCATCTTTTTTTTTTAAAATTTAAAAAAAAAAAAAAAAAAAGAAAGAAATCCAGCAGGCCCCATTTTAATTATAACCCAGCAATTTATTAATAGAACAGTAATGAAGTTTCTGAAATTTGATTTCTTAATCAGGGATCATTGTTATTTTTGTGCCAGATTTAAGAGTTTAATTTTGGGTACTTCTTCCCAACCTCTGAAATTTTAATCAGAAGTTTCAAGTGTACATGTCAATGAGAAGTTAAAGGCCAAATTTAATAACATTTTCTACCTTGGGAAATTAAAAGAAGAACCTCACTCAGAAATCCATTATTAACAGTAGATCTTAATTAAACACAGTTATTCTTCTCAATATTTGTCTGTGTGAAGAGATTAGTTTCAGTATTTTTCCCTTTTTTGGATTCAACAAGTCCAGGATATTCAATAGTTAGACTTTTAACTATGTGTAAATAAGTTGTTTACTGCAATGCATTTGTAATTTTTAATTAAAGCAGTGTTGTTTTCTGGTTTCATGGCTTATCATGGCAATATATTTTTATTACCTACTGTGCTGCTGAATTTTAAATTATTTATGTAAATATACTGTTGCAGTATTTACTCTCGGTAAGCAATGTGACTCGATGCTTCAGAAATATCTTCACAAGAAAACTTTATTGTAGCTCTAAAGCACATCTAATTCATTAAGTAGAGTTAAAATGCAGTATTTGAAGTGGGAGGACTCGAAACAGAACCCAAACTGCAGTGAGTTTCATGGGAACATGAAAGGCTGCAAAACACATCTGTAGCAATATGTGTAAATAAGGTCTATATTTGTTTGTTTGTGTCTCTGTGTGTATAATATTTATCCCTGCCACCGAATCAAGCTGCCCCACAGAGTGCAGGTGGCTTCTGGAAGCACAGGGCCAATGACTTGGTGTTGAGGTCTCAGCTGTGGGGATTTAAAAGGTGATTTTTGTGCTTGGAAGTTGACATCCTTTTATTTGATTCCGGTCTCCTTACGTCAGCGTGTCGGTAATTTCGTGCAATTGCACAGATATGAAATCAGTAAATCCCCGTTGGTTTGAGAGTTGTCATTTCAGGTTAGGGCAGCCTGTGATGGATCCAGCTTCCCAGCAGGACGTGGGTTCTCCTGGATGTTGGAGTGCTGTGGCACTGCCATTGCACTGCCTGTGTGTCCCATAGCTCTGCTGCTCTGGGAATGGGAGGAAAGTAATTTATTATGATCAGCCTTTCCAAATAGCAGCTCCTGATCTATTCTGGAAGGTGGATAGGCTCTGTTTCCCTTTATATAAAGTGCATTTCTCTATACTGCAAAAAACTTAAGTGTGTATTTTAATGAGGCTTCATCCAGCACCATCGGACCACAGGGAATGAGGCTGAACCCAACTGAATTCAGTGATCATGTTTGTTATTTGTCATTTCTCACTGAACAGTAGACTGGCCATTGCCTTTGGGAATGGAAATTTCTACTACTTGGCCACGTTTTCTTTAGATTAGATCATCCTGTCTTTGGGGTTGGAGTCTAGGGAGTCAGAGGAAGTCAGTGGAAATATTCCAAGCTCTAGTTGGAGGCGACTGTGATCTGTATACTCCTTGTCATAAACAACAACAACAAAAAAGGCTGCCTAAAATTCTTCAAAATAGCTCTGAAAGTACACTGAAGCAGGATTTGTAGTTCAGTGAGTTTCTCCCAAATCTCAAATGGCTGAGAAAACTAAGGAAAATTCACTGGACAAAGCAAGTTTTGCTGTTATTGCCTTTCTTTGCTGCCAATCACCACCCTTACAAGCAGTGAATATATAAACCATGAAGGGCAAAGACAATTCAAAAAACCCTTTTCATGGCTCTTGGCGGGATTTTTTTCAGAGATCCTGAACCCCCTCTGAACAAGGATGAGGCTTCGCATCACATTGTTCACAAACACTTAAGGGATCAATTTTGCATACTTTCTTGCACATCAAGCCTTTTTAAAGCACTTTTGTTGCTGGTGGAGGTCAATAAACTTGCTTTTTGGGATACACTACAATCACTTACAGAAGTACTACATAATGAGAGAGGGATAGGAGTCTTAAAGAATGAATGCTTAGGAAGTAACACACTTAGTCATTGTTAAATATGTCTCCTAGAGTCTGAAGGACTTGTCTTTGATTCCTAACAACGGGAGATTTGTTTTCCTTGTGCAGACAGAAGAATAGTCCCATTGTTATAAATGAAG